GGGGGGGGTCGCCACGGGCAAGGGGACGCGATCCTCCCCTTTGAACTTCCAATCCTCCAAGCACAGCTCCCGACAGGATGAGAGGGATTCCGCGGGGGAATCCACCGCCCTCGAGGTGGAAATGCCCTCGCGATCTAAACGAGGGGCCGGGTTGTTGGGATCGCACATCGCAACGGTATGGGAGCGCAGAAAAAGCCGACTTAACCCTTCTAAAATCTCCATTGCATCCTGCTTGGAATAGACCTGGCAAATCTCAACGGAGGAGAGCACCAAGTGGTTGAGCAGACAATGCAACCCACGATAGGGGTTCCGCATGTCATTCGGCCTCGCGCTGTAATTACACAACCTCAGGCGTACCCCATCCCCCAAACATGCGCAGGCATGCGCGAGGCAAAAGCAGGCGTCATCGCGGATCGCATCCAAAACGCAGACCTCCTTGCGGCCCACGTGGAGGTAGCGGTGGGAGAGCGCGGCGGCAGCGCCCTCATTGGACGTACTACACCGCATGCACGATCCAGACAGACAGCACGGCTCGAGGACGCGATGGGGGAGGTGGTGCCTCACAATGGGCATCGCCGCCCGCTCCACGCAGGTCATGATGATCCCATCCACGTCAGGGCCATCGGCCATCTCTGCGTCGCCCTCGCGTAACCGCGGCTGATATCGCCAGTCGGTCCAGAGTTTTCGCCAGAGGGCGTATTTGTAGGCCGCGTCATGCGTTATCTGCGTCCATTGGGTTCGGTGGGAATCTTTTTTGCCCATCTTGACAATACTACGTCGTCATTCATCAAAGAACAGCGAAAGGCTACTAGGAAATAAAAAAACAAAAGCGAACGAGAAGAATCAAAGAGTCTACCCCTCCTGCACCCTTCCTCTCTCTTCGTTTACTCTCCTTTTATCTTCCAAAGGATTTTTTGTGCTTTTTATCGGTCTCACGATTGCAACACTGCCTAAAAGTGTAGAATGGTGGTACCTAAATCGGGGTTAAAACTCGAAAAAAAAGTATAAGGCTAAGCTTGAGTTAGGCTCAATTCGGAAATGGTCCTAGGCGTGGCACAAGAGAACTAAGATAAACGGATCGCAAGAAGTGGAAATACATATATGGAGGTTCTTTCTTCAAAAAATTCCTATTCCCCTAAGCATCCGTCAATTACCCAACGTAATTTATTGCCCATTGTTTGTGAATTAGCAAATAAAAACGATTCAATGCAATGTGCATATATACATATATCAACGAATTTGTATGGTTATGTTTCTATGCAACTTCACAAGCATCCCTATCTAAGATTTCCTGGAGTTCATTCAAACTCACCTTCTCCGCCATCATGTTCATAAAATCATTTTGAAGCTTACGAAATTGAATACTCATCTCTTCCGTAATTAGCTCGTGAAGCTCGTCTATTTTATCATCCGCTGCATCCTTATCCTCTTTGTATTCCAGCAAGTTCTCAATAGACTTCTGAAGGGTTGCGAATCGCTCCTCCAGGAGAACCTTTGTGCAAAACGCGGCATTCATGCGCTCTTCTAATAAATTTGTTTCGCGACGTAGCAGCTCCGGTAGTACATCCTCCTTTCGTGGATCAGCCTCTCCTACCATAACAGAGGCAGATGGTGTTTGCGAAACAAGCAACCCCGCTAATGGCAAACGCTGAACATCCTCCTCTAGCTGTCGTATCCTCATTTCTAAATGTGTAAAATCATCCTTGGTAAGGTCATCCAATTGAATTCGAGTTTCTTCCGGCGATTTTCCCCTCCCCCCTTCCGGTCCACATGGGAAATTCCGCAGAATCTCTTGAAGACAACGGACATCTTCGATTAGTTGTTTGTATTTATCTAAAAGATTTCTCAGAACGGACTCCATGGTGTCTAGGCGTCCCTGGTGTTCATTCAGGTTGGCCTCTAGGTCGGAACTTTTTGCATCAAAACGGTCCTGTAACTGCTCTAGGGAGCTCTGTATCGTTTCCAATGCACTTTCTAAATTCTCTGCTTGTTCTGCATACTTTCTGCTGAGGAGGTCGCACTGCTCATCAACACTTTCACTAAGATCGGTACCAAGTTTAGTGGTAAGGTTAAGCAAGTTGAATTTTACGCAAGTCTCCACTACCTTTTCAATTTCAGCAATATCATGCACAGGATGCGGCAACACGTCGGTTTGCAAGCACTGCGGACTATCACCTCTGTGTTGGTGTGCGGCATCTCCTTCGGAAATCCCCAAGTCGGGCGAATGAATAGTATGAAGAGCTTGCCATAAGCTTTGAATCTCTCGCGTGATGCATTCGAGAGCAGGCGTAAATGCGTCGTTATTTTTCATCGTGCCTTCCTTGTTGACAACATTGTTGTTGGCACAGCCAGAATCAACTTGCGTAAGCATTCCATTCTCACATGCCTGTAGATCTCTACTTGGCGCGGCACCGCTCCACTTCTGTACTAACCTATCCAATTCGTCAACACGCATTATGAGTCCTTGCTGTTTGGCGAACAGCTCTTCCCCTATACGTTGCCGCCATTCGTGAAGAAATTCCTCGACATTTGTTGAAGGTGGAGCAAATGAAGGGTGGATTGCAGAGACTGACTGGTTCATTTTCTGGTCCAAGATCGCTATCTTGGCGCTCAGCTCCTCAAAACGCGTATCAGTGAAAGTTTGTATACGCGTTATGGTGTTCCCTTCCTCCACTATGTTCTCCAGTGCACGAGTCAAGTCATGACCAAGTTTGGATGTCAGGTTTTCGGAGCCTTGAAGTCGATCATCCATGTCATGAACATCGCTAGTGAAAGTTGAGAACCGCTTCTCTAATGAAAGTAAACGACGCGAGAGGTCTTGCACACGGTGGTTGCCTTCCTCAACTGATTCCCTAAGCAATCGTACTGACATGCCTATTTTATCATTGCTGATATCGCAGTTCAGGTCAGATATTTTCGTCTCAATAAAGGCAATTCGACGCTTTATTGCTTCCACCTCCATTAACACAGGCGAAACCTCCTTTAAAGCTTCCTCCTGCCAAGACTTCCAGGTGGAATGGTTTTGCTGAAGGTATTCTATCTTTTGAGTTGCTGTGCTAATAATTTCCTCAAGATTTCGTATTTTCAAATTAGCAGCCTTTAGTTGCCTGTCTAAATTCTCCACACATGCATGACGTTCATCAACTTCATGGTGTATCTCCTTGGTTGTGTCCGTAAGGGTCGCGCGTAAGTGCTCACATAACGCTAACATTCTCTCTTTTTCTTCACTTTCAGTAAATAATTTCCGCTGCTCTTCCTGTTTTTGTAATAATGTGCACCGCTGAACCATTGCTGTTTCTAGCTTATCCATTGCGTCAGAAATACTACCAACAAGTCTGTGCAAACGTTCGCTTTGCGCATCTGTCCGGAGTTGCCCCTCGGAGATCTCGTGGATCGAGCTTCGGAGTTGCTCAATATTATGTTGAAGCGTATCGGTCACTTTTTTGCAAAAAGCCCGTACATCGCCAACACGAGTGTCAATATGTTCAGTTTGATTCTTGAGTTGCGTGATTTCATTCAGCATCTGGTTTCTTTCCTCTGCAAACGCCTGTAATTGGTTCGCCTCTGACCTTTTATTCCTATCCAAAACATCCGAGAATTTAATGAATTGTCCCTCCAACTTACTTAGAACAGACTCTAGTCGTGCAACCTGCTTAGTGTTTGCACTCATAGCTGTTTGAGTCTTTTCGATGAAATCGCAATTATCATTCGATTTTTTTTTCAAGGACTGAACACTATCCTGTAATGTCACAATATCCTTTCTCATTAACGTGGTAGCGCTAGTCACGAAGTCGTGGGCTTCCATCGTTATTCTGTGAATTTCCCCACGAAGCGAAGAAACTTTTTCGCCAGTATCTGCAGCACAACGCTGCATTAAATCATCTGTTAAAGTGCGTTGTTTTTCACATATGGCATCGATTTTTTCGAAAGAGTTGAACATGCTTTTAAAGCGCTTTTCGCAAACGGCCTCGTAATCCGAAAACTCTTTTGAAAGTCGTGAAAAATTTCGACTACACTCTTCGCATTCCTCAATCAGTTTAAAGAGACGATCCACCTTCGTCTCGAGATCTAGCAACCTGGAAGTATGCTCAAGCGTCAATCTATTGGTTTCTGCATGTTCCTTCTTCAGGAAATTGAAAGATTCAATCGACTCATTAGACTTCGAGATAACATCATTAACCAGAATCCTTTGCGCATCGAATTGAGTCATGACATCACAAATTTTATTATCAACTGATTCAATCGCTTCAGCAACGCGAGCATCTATTCGTGAGATTATTAAATCTTCATCTGGTAAAAGTTTGATCTTCTCCTGGGTATGCTTTAAATCCTCTTGATTCTTCGACACCTTCTTTTTTAAGCTTTTCAGACTTTCTATCAGTTTATACTCCTCATCGCTTTTCGACTTAATATTTGTCATCAATGCATTTTTAGCCACATCAATTTCCATATTTGTCTGCTTTTGAAACAACTTTCTTACGTGTGTGTTCGTCTCGTCCTGCTCCACTCGGAGAGTTTCAATGAGTTTTCGTGAGATTCCCTCCTCCTCACTCATTAGGCGAAACAGCTTCCGAAGAATTGGAGGTATATTGAACCACTCTTCATCATCATCTAGAAGTGCTGTAAATTCATTGTGCATCATCAAGTGGAAGAATAAAACAGTAATGTATGATTTTTTCCTTCCTGCTATCAAACTCTACAGAAGTAAATAGGAAGCTAGAACGAGAAATATTAAAATAAAATCCGAAAGCAATCACATTAAACAGAAAAGGCTCGTATAAGTATAAAGCTTCTTTATTTCGTTTACAATGCAAATGAATAAGGAGAGTTGGAAAAGAATTCAAAATGAATACCCGCTCTCAGTAATCATTTTGATGTTGTACTCTCTAAAATATCGCATATAATTCCAGAACTCATATGGGTTGATTGCATAGTAAATTTGATGGTCCCGGACATCAGCGAAATGGATATTTCTTAGCGCAGGCCGAACCCTTCCCATATCCATCATAAATTTGAATTTATAGTAGTAATCCTGCTTCCTCAACAATCCTGGGACAAAAACTAAACTGTGCACACCGTTGAAATTTTTTATCCGCTCCTGTGGACGATCAAAGGGACGGAATGGTGAGTTATTTCTTCCCAAAATTGCAGTGACGCTAATAGCTACATCCTTGTTATCGAGTACCGTTCTCAGTGCAACGTAGCCACCGTAACCCTTTCCAAATAAATGCACTCTGCCATGTTCTACGTTAAATTTTTCTGTAGCCCAATCACAGAAACGCGCAACTATTCCTTCCACAGGTATCTGAAAGCTATGCCGCAAGTTTATTACAGGAGATAGTACGACCCATTGTTGTTCAGACATTAATTGACGATGGACAGGCCTTTCGAAAAAATTTGCACAAACGTCTTCAAAATCACGAGGCATTCCACGATGATCAGGAAGTACAACCATGTAAGGATACTGTTTCTCTGCCGACCAGTCCTGAGGTGCTAGCATGCTATACGCTATGGGCGCTGGATCTTCATCAATACCAAAGACACTATGGTCAACACAATCGGCTTTTCCCTCAATAATTGATAAATTTGTAGTCATTGGATACATCGCCCGAAGTTCAAATTCGTTAGGCAATCTTGAATTTTTAGGGAGTCTTCGGAACGATGTCTCATTTGGTCTGTACTCTAAATCTGGCTGAGGAATGCGAGTAACACTCCGCCGCTTTCGTTTATCGACCTCATTGGATTCTTTGTCTTTATGCATTGAGCCAATGTAAACACCGTCTTGAGAGTACATATACTGGAGCTTGTGTAACTCCAGAACTGCACTAGCCTCTTTGTTAAGAATACTGACATCTCCCTTTTTTATGTCCGAAAGGGAATTCTCTTCGCCAGGAGAAGTCACTTCATCGTCTATAGTTTCACTCAAGACTTCAGCCTCTGGAGTACTATTCACATTTGATTTTGGTAAGCTACTAGCGTTTGTAGATAAATCCGTTCTTGTAGAAAACGAGCAATTGAAAACGACTCTGTGAGAACACTTGATGCTTGAGCAAATAGAAAATACAAATCGCCGCATCAATATAAACTTAGCAATAAATAACTCATATGTATATATACTGATATACAAAAAAGGAAAGGAAAAAATATTGATCAGTTAAAAAGAACAGGAAAAACTACTTCACTAGTAATTTAACGTGCCTACATATGATAAAGATTGAAAGTTTAAAAAAGTTCACCGTTCTTTGTGTAAAATCATTTTTTCTGATAAATTTAATAATCGAGATAGATAGAAAATTTCCTGAAAAAAATCTACATCCCTTTTTACCTATTGCTCAGTTTTAATATAGGGCTCAAAAAAAACAATAATTGCATGCGTTTATTATCGTTTTTGCATTATTTAATTAATAATAGCAAATACGACAATAATATAGAAATAGTATTAAAAGTTAATTACCCCATTGGAGCGAATACAAATCATGTCGAATGCCCTTCAATATCGGAATGTTTTCACGGGCTTCTTGAATTAGACCGAGGTCAAGCACTGCATCCAATGCACCCTCCTTCTCATCCAGCTGTGCAACCACTCTACCCAGAGGATCTGCAATCATAGAGTGTCCATAGGCCACATAGCCTGCTGACTCGTTGCGAGCCTGTGAGCACATGATCACATACTGTTGGTTATCCATTGCTCGAGCCCGTGCGGTCAGCTCCCAATGCAAAGGCCCGGTAACCATATTGAATGCTGCTGGGCAGACGATAAGGGACGTACCTTGACTAGCCAGTTTGTGTGCGATTTGAGGAAAACGCATATCAAAGCAGATGGTAACACCTACCTTAATGTTCATCTCATCCATTTGAATCGCATCTGCGGTGTTGCCGGCAGACATTACTTCACTTTCATCGACTTTGACCTTGTCTGTATTTATTTTGAATAGGTGCACCTTGCGGTGCACACCACGAAGAGTGCCGTCTGGACCAAATGTCATGCTTGAATTATAAATTTTACCCTCCTTCTTTTCCGGTATACTTCCCGCAATAACCCAAACTTTACAATCACGTGCAGTGGCTGAAATGGCATCAAAGGTTTTATTACCAGGACTCAATTGCTCCGAGTATTCGTCAAAAAACTTGGTATTATAAGGGCTGTTGAAGCACTCTGGTAAAATAACAAGTTCAGAGCCACGACTAACTGCATCTTTTATCATAGAAACAGCTTTATCGATACAGGCTTGTTTGTCAGGAGTAACCAACATTTGGCATAGGGTAACTTTCAAAGTAGGAGCCATTGGCTTTTTTTTGCTGTTAATGGTAGTATTAGAAATTAATGTTTATTATCTTATTTCTGGAAGCTGTTGGAAAAAAAATATGTATACTGAATAAACGAAACTTATGCAGGAACAATTTACGAGTATATGGAAAGAAATATTAACGATTGATTATTTTTTTTCTTTTTGGTAACCCCATGATGTTCCTCAGCTGTTTGTGTATAAATACAGATTCGCTCATTTAATATTGCATAACATTTTATTTATAGACACCCTGTCTTATCTGCTCCACATCCTTTCGACACAGTTCATTTACTCAGAAAGACCTTTAACCCATTCCTGTCATTCGGTTCAAATAATTTCAAGTCTTAAATATCCAACAAAACGAACACCTGAAGGGTAAATATGAGCAAAACAATTATAGTGACGAATATGGCGTCACACATGTGGAAAAATCCTCCGCATCTTTTTTCTTACGAGCCTAAGAGGGATCATTACCCAAATTGAACATAAACTGGGGCAGATACCCCAGCGAGCGTATTATTGCCTCTAGAAGAGACTTGATGGCCATTTATTTGGCGCGGGAGGGGGGGGGGTAGAAGAAGCCACCCGCGGCGGAGGGGGTGCGCCCAGCATGGCATGGGAACGCGAAGTGACCCCCCCCCCGCAAAGGGGCCCTGAACACCCTTTGCGTGGAAACAAAGGAACGAGGGTCAAACAATACGAATAGAACGCTGGGAAAATACGGAACACGAGCAGCCAGACGTGCCCCAAATATTGGCACGAGGAGGGGGTCCCATGGGGCAGCGCCCGCGCATGCCGCGGGCGCGCAATTGAAAATTTTATAGAAAGCGCGCTTCCCGAAGGGTCTAAAAGCAGTTTCCCATGAAAACTTAATCCCACACCCCATTCACTCCCAGCCTTTAAATTACCACACCCCAGCGGACGACAAGATTCCTTACAAAAACAGAAACACCAAAAGCACGGCAGGCCACACCAACGGGCGCGATGTTTATGAGACGGAAACACGGCGGCTGTGAATGCTTTCCAAACGAAGAACAGAAAAATACAATTCAGAGAATGGTATTTATTTCCTTTTCCACTAGCATCCACCTATTTCACTAAAAACATGCATCGTTGTCTTTGGGGGGGGGGGGGCCGGGAACCAGTGCCTCCGCCCCGGGCCCCCCCCGCATCCAACCCGGGGGGCCGCCCTTGGAGAAAAACAATGCTTTAAAGTATCGATAGCGCGCTCAACGTTTTATAATATTATTTAGCCCCGAGTCGTCAATCTTTTTGATAGAAACCACTTACCGCATGTAAATAATAACTTTTTCCAGCCGCGGGCGCCCTATTTTATTACAACGCCGGGCAAATGGCAAATGGAGACGGGGGGGCGGGACCCTGAACGGATTCAGCCCCAGCGGTCTGGTTGAAAGGTTCAAATTCCACAAAGACGACACGTTGTGAAGCATCATGGAATAATTGACACCACAGTGCGTTGGCGTTTTTATTAGAAATACCTGGCGTTCGCGTTTGCCGCGCCGCAGAAAAGACTGCGTGCCCCCCCCCCTCCTCAAACATCTTGCCCAAAACCAGAACCTATTCAACCCCATCACTATGCAAACCTTAATGGGTATTATTGTTCAACCACCCAATTTGAGCACACCAGCGCAATTATGATGAAATTATTGCCGCGGCATATGCCGGCCACCTCTTTGAGGTGCCTCGGGCAAGTAGCCATTTGGCGAATCCAAGCGCCTGCGCGCCTTCCCACTATCGGCGGGGGCATGGGTACTTGGTTACTGGCTCTGGTGGGGAATTTGGCGGGGCCTCCCAAAACGCTGTCCGAGCGGATGGAACACTCCGACTGAACACTGTTAACGCTTATCTGGTCTCCAGGTACAGCTTCAAATAAACTAAGGGCGTTCAAGCCTTACTTCTACGTTGTGGGGATATCCACGGGAACTATGGGCCCCCAAGCGTAACACAAAGCAGTGCAATGAAATCTTTGCTTTTAAATTCTTGACTTACCAATACCACTGCTCATCTTTTAAATAACAATTATTCCCGTCCCTTTGTCCACGCGGCAGCTTCCCCATTGAAATTAACTTTTAACCAAAAGGCCACGCCAATTCACATTTGAGATGAACGCAGAGCTCAGCCCCGTGCCCTTGTTTAAAATAAATAGGACAGCCATATGCGGGCAGGATGCTTCTTCTGATTGACCATTTGTTTGTTTCACTATTCATCTGCAATTTGCGGCATATAGGGGCAGCATCGGTATTAATGTTTTATCCCCATCAACACGCAGTACGGTTTGTAGAATTTTCGGCACATTGTCCCAGTTAGCATTTGTATGCGGGGTTAGTGTCATTGTATCCCGATGAACTCCTTACGCTTAGTAACGGTTCCCATGCGTTTATTTTTCCCTTCCCCGCATGGGTTCGATATTCTAAAACATGTACAAATAACTTGTCTGCAAACCTATTTTCAGTAATTTAATTGATTACTATTAACTTTACAACACTGGTATGGTTACTAACTTTGTTTTATTCAAGCTTCTGGAGCTATAATAGTAATCATGGAAGCTTTTTGAAGGCAAGCCTTTTGACAGATTATGGCGGGCCCAAGGCGGGCGCAAGGGGGCGGGGGGGGAGGGGCACCCACCCCCCCCAAAGGAGGCCCAGACCCCCCAGGTCGCGCCGGACAGGGGCCGCCAACGGTTAGGCCGGAATGGCAGGAGGAAAGTTGACATATGGCAGGCACACAAGGGGGGAGGGGGGGAAGACCAAAAGAAGAGGGCCTCCCAAGAATAGTCTTTGCTCGGGGTCGGCCCCTTTGCGGGAGGTGGGCGGCACCAAATCAGAAGACCCAGAGCGCCGCCCCCTCAGGGACCCCGCGGGTGAAAAAGAACTGCATGCAAAGAAAGGGGCGCATTTGTGTTTACTTTTCCTACGTGTGGAAAGAAGATCGGAGTAAATATGGATCAATAAAATCTAATGCTTTATCAGGACCGATCCCTGAGACAACGCAACCCAGGAAATGCGAACAAATCTAACAAGAGTACGCGCACACCCGCGCAGTTGATATTGATTACTCCCGATTCTACCCTTGGTAGTGCACGGATCCGTCCCCCGAAGCTTCTGTGGAATACTCCTCTTCATTATTGATTCCGTCCACTTCCGAAGTGTCCACCGGCAAGTCCGGAATCACCCCGCGGTCTTTCAGCAACCGCTCGACAAACTCTGGTGGGTTGGGCGCGTCGTAATACGGATAGGCCTTGAGGCGGTATTGCTTGGGGTCGACAGGGACATCCGTGCCGATGCTTGGCGGCGGCGCCACCGGAACGTCGAAGGGCACCTCAGCGTCCGTATGATACTCCATTATCCAGCCAGGGATCTCGGCGTGTTCGATTTTGACCGGACGGGTGGTACTTTCGCCGTGAAACGTCACATAACCGTAGACGGTGCCGTTGTTTCCGTCGCGGTCGAAGTCGATTGCGGAGAGGGTGATGTGCTTGTCATAGGTCCCCTCCTTCCATTCCTTGCGAAAGAAGCGCTGGCCGCGACCATGATACGCGACTTGCGAGGCGATTTGGAAGATATTCTTGCCCGTGGACGTATTGTAGTGGTAGGTGGCAACGGCGGCTTTGAGCACCTCCAGCGGGTCCACCTGCGAGGAGCGGTCGATATGATCAAGTTCCACCAGCTGGGTGCCGTCTAAGATCGTCTTATCCTTGGCGTTGAGCACCACCGCCGGTACGTATTCGCGGGCCGCCGTCCAAGGCATACGACGGCGATGAGGCTCCGGTGAGGGTTTCGAGCCCTTACTCCCAAGAGTCATTGAGCTCCCGGCATTTAGGGCATCCCGCCGGAGGAGAGCTCTGCTAAGACGCTGCATTTTTTTTACCCTTTCACCTCTAAGGTGGCTATGTGTACGCTATTTCAATTTTTCAAAATGGGGAAAGCCTCAAGTTTGGCATGTATATTAGTGTACATCAATTACTATGGTATTCTATAATATACCGACTAGTTGGGATGCGTTAATGACAACACCGAGGGTGGAAAGGGAGGAATTCGAACTCCTATGCTTCGCAAATCACAACTCGGAAGTCAAAAAGTGAAAAAGCGACTGCACGGCCGTGCGTACACCCAACTCGTGAATCCATCCCTATATATCACTATGCTCCATTTTAGACTCAAAATCAATTCTATTTTATTAGATCGGTGATTTTCTTCGCATTTCCCCCAAGCAATATTTCCAAACTAACAATATTAATAAACTGCAAACTAACCTAAAAAAACGATTTAGTTGTTGTTGTTGTTGTTGTTGCGGTTGTCTTTGCGGTGTGCTTTGAATGAGCACAGGCAAGGAAACGTGGTCGTGAAGAAGCACTCGTCTTCGCTTACACGCGCATCCGGACGTCCCCGAGTTGGAGAGGGAGAGGAGGAGAAGCGCTATAGGGTGGGCGCACCCTCAGAGCATTCCAAAGTCCACCACCTCCTGCGTCGAGTTCAACTGCGCAATAAACGTCTCAGGCCGCAGGAGGGAGGTGCCTCCGACGATCGTCTCTTGCCCGTACTGCCGCGAGATCTCATACGCGGCCCGCACCTCCCCATAGGTGGCGCCGCCGATCACAAACAGAACAATCCGCTGCCGCGTCTTCAACGGGATCTCCCCTTCCGCCCCGAGATCGAGCGTGTGGGTGAGGCCGACGGGCGAGCCGGGGCTCGCGAGGCTCCCGTTGGCCCCGGCCAGCGCAACGGGCGCGTGCAGGTTGACCTTCTCCGCGGCCGCCCCGAGGACGGGGAAGTCGAGGTAGCTGAGG